AGAAGGAGGCTCAGAGTCAAGGTGGTGGGATGATGTTGAGTGGTCAGAGGAAGAAGGAGCAGACTGGGAGAAGGTTGTCAGAAGCTGAATAGGTAACAGAGTTTGGAGAGCAGGAAGAGCAGTCCAGAAGCAGAGGGCTGTCAAGATGCAAAATGAGGGCCAAGAAGTCCCTCTCTCTCCTGCTCTCCTCCCTCCTGGTCTCCCAGAACATGAAGAGGAATGAAGAGGGCAGAGCAAAGAGAGAGAAGACAAAGAGCCTCAGGTTGCTGGGGAAGGAACCAAAGGAGGCGTCTTAGAGAGTGGCGCAAAGGCAGGGACGTTCAGTCCTTGCAACTGCCTCATTGAGGCAAGACCTACTGGGAAGAGTTACTGTAATCACTAAGGCCTGAGCTGTTTTGGTTTCTTTGAATAAAGAGTTAACTTCACAGATGTTTTGTTACTGACCTGCTCCTGACTCCGGTTCCTGACAATAGATGAGTTCTCTCTTATACAAACAGGACCATTTCTAGTATTAGAAATTATAATACTGAAAGCCCAATAGGATTAGAAGCCTATTCTGGCACAGAGCGGCATATAAATGAATAAATCATTAGCAAATAATAATACATGCTAGGCCAGATAATGTAAGCCTCAGCAGGCTTGAATGTCCCAAAGAAGCATTTTAAATGGTCACATTACTTTGGAAGGATTTTGCAGACCTAGAGTACAAATCCTAAAGTTCTCTAATTAAATGCATAATCATGGATGCAGATCTGTGTTACCAATGCTAAATGGCTTCCACTTTAATGAGCCAATTGAAATGAAATGGTTGCCTGCAATTAGACATCTGCATTGGAAGGAACGCAAGCCAGCAACAGAGTCTGGCTTCCAGAATTATAGTTGCATTCCTGAGCAGGACAATGAGAAGAATGGATAACTATAATTATACCATATACATTTTTTTTAGCATTCAATATTGCAGGAAGAGAATGAGCAAACAACAGCTCTAATCACTTGCTTTCTAAGAAGAGGCCTGTCAAAAGAGCTGCAGATTCAATGCATTCCTGTTCCATTAGCAACATCATGAACTAAGGTCATTCACAACCCACCTGAAGGCTGGCCTTTTTTAAAATCACGAAACATGTCAATTGTACACACTGGAATTGAAGAAAGTTTTATACTGACAGAAAGTCAAAACAGGAAAAAGCACATCCAAATATTTGGATAGATGGTGCCAGCATTATTCCTCCACACACACACCATGGAAATTTGTAAATGTGCTGTGTTTTCTACTTCAAGACATGAAAGTGAATACTGAACCAAAACCATAGTACCTGGCTTTGCTGTTTAGGTATGTATA